CAGAAGACCGTTTGTATGCAATGTTCTACACTGTTTTATGTAAGCGACTTGTGCATCTGTGGGTTTTGGTATCGCAGAGGTCCTGGAACCATTCTCCAGGGACTACTGAAGTCTCTGGAAAGTCTAAAGTTCTATGCAGATTTCAACTACACAGGGTGGGCACACTAAACCCCTACATTATTCAAGGGTCAACTGTAGTAACAAGGATACTGGTAGGAATGTAAAATGGCACAGCCACTTTAGAAAACAATCTGACAGTTTTTTACGAAGTTCAACACATTTGTCTTGTGACTCACTCATACCACTCCTGAGGTATTTACATATCCAAGTGGTATGTTCACACCAAGACCTGTGTGCAAAGGCTCACAAGAGCATTATAAAGGCTTTTGCAATTGCCCCCAAAGTGCAGTGTCCTTCAGCTGGGGTATGAATAAACACACTGCAGGACATCCATACAACATAACAGCAGTCAGCAATGAGAAGGGACTATACATACAGACAACATGGATGACTTGCATGTATTATGCTATGTTAAAGAGGTCATATTTTAAAAGCTACATACTATACGATTCTAGTCTATTGCTATGACATTCTGAAAAAGGCAAATCTGTAGGGACAGTAAACAGTTCGGTGTTTGCCGGGGCTGGGGCTGGGGTGGGAGGAGAGGTTCACTAGGAAGGGGGAGCACAGGGAATTTTGAAGGGGTGATGGCACCATTCTGTATTTTGCTTATGGTAGTGGTTACATGACTGTACATAATGGCTGAAATTTGAAGAACTGTTCACTAAAAGGGGTGAATTTTAGTGTGTGCAAATTGTACCTTAATTTAAAAATTGGGAAAAAACACAATATGTACTTAATATAGTTCAAAGTACATTTGTTTCTAAGGGGAAAAAAGTGGAAGAAATGAAGATTGCTTCTGTCGAGGACTTCTCTCAGCTTGTGACACATCCTATGAATCATGGCCCCACCTGAAAAAGGTATTATTTAATGTACAATTGGAAATTACATTCTTTTCCAAAAGGATGGGATTCTTGTAAGTGAACATGAGAAGTTGCTAACAGCTAGGAAACAACAAGAAAAACAAACTATACAGTTTGTAATCCTTGCATCTTTGGAACACGCTGACAAAACTTCAGGGAACAGGAATAAACTCTGGATTATACAACATGGATTTACATAATTGAAACATCATCTATTAATATAAAATAGATATAAAAATGCCACAAAAGCCCTGACTGCTGTGGCTGGGCGTCATCATGCAAAGCAATAGGTTGCCACTTCAATTCCCGGTCAGAGCATATGCCTGGGTTGTGAGTTCAATACCAGGTTGGTATCTCTTTCTCCCTCCCTTCCCCTCTCTCTAAAAACAAATTAAAACAAAATGTTTAATAATGCCACAAAAAATGAAATTGTTCTTTCTCTTACAATCTATTTGTACAGAGCAGTAAACAACATTTATGGAGGAAAAAAGGTAAATCGATCAGTAGGGCTGGGAACAGAAATTGGGTCAGGCTACGTACCATCCGCATGTTCTTCAGATCCACTCTTCCATTTGCCAGTTCATCTGCACCTTTTTCAAGGAGTTTACCCAAGATTCGCTTTCTTCCCCAAAACTCTGGCCCCACAGGATAGAAGTAGTCTGTCTCTTCTCAAAATCCTCTATCACTTTTACTGACCCTCTTGGTGGATCTTTTCATAATGATAATATTTACTGAATTTACTGTATGACAAGAACTATGCTAAATGCTATGCCTGCATTACCTCATTTAATACTATAGAACCCCACAATGAAGGTGTTATTATTACACATTTTATAGATGAAGAAATTGAGGCACAAAAACGATCCATTATTTATAAAAGTCACACAGCTAATAAACAGCAGATAAGAATTTTATCCCAAGTAGTCTATTTCCAGAGCCCATTCTCTGAACTGCTACACATAAGATTAAGTCATTCATTCAATATTCATGGAGTACCAAGCACTAGTTCACGGCAATAAAGATAGACATAAGAATAAGACAAGGTCCCCTGAAGGTGCTTCTGGTCTCCTAGGGCATGACCAACACAAAGAAGTGCAATACACCGAGTGCTGTGTACACCCTAAGTGTTTTTGGGAAGTGCCAGCAAAGGTCTGGGACAGGGAAAGCATCTCAGAATTGAGGACGGTCTAAGTCTGTCATACAATATGAGCGTGTCCCTCTCACTCTGTATCCCCCCGTAATTCTAACAGGTTTTGCACAAACATTTGTTGAGTGAACAACTGAAGTTGACCCATCTCCTCTACTTTTGTTATGCCTGTAACTGCCACTCTAAAATTCAACTCAGAAAGATGTGACAAGAAGCCAAAACTACATTTATTTCTCTCTCTGTCATAACCTTCACCCATTCATTAAGCATTCACTGACTGCCTACTATGAGCCAGCCACTGAACTTGGCATGTATTTCAGGGGCGAACAGGTCAGATGGAGGCCCTGCTGTCCTGGAAACCACATTTCAGTGGATGAACCGATCAAATATAAACAAACAAAACCACACTGAACAAGATCGTTTCAGATCATTTTAAGTGCTATGAATAAAATTAATGAGGAAATATGATAAACTGTGACTATGAGGTATTAATTTACATTGAAAAGACCAGGCTTGAAGGTAACATTTAAAATGGTGCACTTTTATTTTTAAAAGAAAAAAAGCGAAGCTAGAAATCCCATCCAAAATTAGGAGCCAGAATTAACCTGTGTTACTGACAAAGGATTGCGCTATTCTTTTCCCTCCAAAATGTATACCTACCTCAATTGTTAAAAGGAATAGCACACTGTTCACACATTCCCCAATTTTATGTAAAATTGGTTTGATTTTTATAAAAAGTGGCTTTATTTCAGAAATGAAAATTTGACATTATATATTGATTTATTTTTACCTTTACGCTTGTTTCTAAAAAAGTGAGGGGAGGGGAGGACTAAGGAGCCACCTGCACGAAGGAGGTCCTGGCAAGTGGCAAAGATGCAAAAACTTGATTTTTGTTAACACTTAAGGGTGTTGTTTTAAAAACCATCTTATTTGAAACATTTGAAAGAATGTAATGTAAATTCACATGTCATATTTCATAACCCTTTAAAAAGGGCATTGAAAGTAAATGGTATATTTAGAATAATGAAGAAAGTTTTTTTTTTACTAATGTTGCAAGGAAATGGACACCAGGTTTTAAAAATTAATTAACACTAATTTTGGCAAGTCATGTCACTGCCTCCATTCCACCCCCTCTCCTCCACCCCACACACAGTTAAAATGAGAGTGTTGACATTACAGGATCCCTATGGGTTCTTCAAGCCCTAAACACCTTGATTCTCCTTAGGAAATAGAAGGTATGTTATTCACAACCTTTACTGTATGGGGAAGGCAGGTGTTATAGTGGGCACTTAAAAAAAAAACTGGCTCATTTGGTGTTCAGTTTCTTGGTTCACAGGCCGGTGCTCAATCCACTGAAGGGGTTCAGTTTTTGTAACAATTTTCTTCTGATGTAGTGGGGATATTTCCTACACATCGACGAAAAGGATGGAAAACAAAAAACAGTAAAAAGAAAGAGAGGCGAATGTGTGCTACAATAGGAGAGAATCATTGGGAGGGAAACTAATTTCCACCATTTTTTTTCTATTTCCTTTCTTATCCTCCCCTTTAGAGAAAAGCCCAGTTTTAATGTTCTCTTAATTCCAAAAGATGTAGCAAAACCCACGGCGATCCTTACTTTTTTTTTTTTCTGTTAAAGGGACAGCCAAAATACTGAAGAGGCCCAGTGTTTTACACATCACCAGCCTTAGCACTGAGGACGCCGTTTTCCAAACATAATTACCAACATCAGCCCTTACTTCGCTGCAGGCGGCACTCACCACGACCCATTTTTTAAAGTCCCTGCATGTCAAGCCTTTCATCCAAATCCATAAACAACCATTTCCTCCCTGCAACAGTGGCTCGAACCGCCCGAGACGTGCCGGCGAGCCAAGGCTGAGTCGTGCAAACAGGGGGACTGCAGACTGCGGTGCTGGGCAGGGCCGCTCTCCCGCCGCACGCTCCAGCGCTCCTCGTCAAGGGTGTGATTTAGGAAGGCTCAGGACCCTGCTAAGATCCCGCCCTTGAAACCAAGACCCGGGAACCCGGAGCGGAGAGAGGCGGCCTCAGCCCAGCAAAGCCAAGCCTTTGGAAATCTGGCTTCTCTCCAGCGGCCAGGAGTGGCCCGAGCTGGTGCGCGGAGCCGCTCCCAGGTGGGTCTCTGCAACCGTGGACCGCGGCTCCGGCTCCCCGGGAGGGCGGAGGAAGGGGGAGGAGGTCGCAGGCCGGGATTTCGCTCGTCACGATTCAGGAAGGAGGGTGGGAAAGAGGGAGGGGCTGGAGAAGGAAAAAGGAATGGAATCAGGAGCTTAGGGAATAAAGAAAGCGAGGAAGGGGAAAAGGGAAATGGGGGAAGGTGATGGAGTGGAGAATGGGGTGCAGGGGAGGATGATGGGGAGCAGAAGGGGCGGGTAAAGAGCAGCAGAGGGTAAAGGCCAGGTGAAGGGGGTGGGATGGGGTGCCGGGGGTGAAGGGGTTGGAAAAACAAATGGAGCGGAGGGAAGGAGTGAAGAGGCGAGAAATGGGGGTGAAGAAGAACAGATGGGGCAAAGGGGATGAAGGGAGAAGCAAGGGAGGTGCGAGGATGAAGGGAAGGATGGGGATGAGGAAGAAGGCTAGGAGAAGGGATGGGGTGATGAGGGGCGGGAGGGGAAGGGGTGGGATTCGGGAAGGGGAACGCGGGGAAGGAGGGAAGCGGACGCGGGCCGCAGGAGGCCGGAGGGACTTCCCTCGGAGGGCGGCGCCGGAATAACGGGGCCCTCCCAGCCGCAAGCCCCCGGCCGGGCGGGGCGAGCGGCCAGCCCTGAGGCCCGGGCGCTGCGGGCAGGTACGGCACCGGGCTCCTCCCGGGCAGCCGCAGTCCCCGCCTGCGAACAGAACCCCAATCCACTTACTCTCTCCGACCACGGCTTTGAGGCCAATGGGTGCCATCGCGCTGCGCGAGTCTTCGGGCTCCGCGCCTCCTCACGCGACGCCCGCGGACACCACCGCCTCCCCGGGTCGGCGCGCTCTGCCGGCTGCAGCCCGCCGCCCTAAAGCCGCTCTAGGGACCGAATGACGCTCCGACTCCGCGCGGGGGCGCCGCGAGAACCAGAGCGAGGCTGCCGACCCGCAGGCGAGCGCGCGCGGGGGCGGGGCCGGCCCGGGCGGGGTCTCGAGCCGGCCGTTAGCGTCAGCCGCGCGCCTACGCCAATCGCACTGCGGCCCGAGGGCTCGGCCCCGCCCGCCGAGATGCGGCTGGGCGCGAGGCGGCCTCTGGCTGGAGCGAGAGCCGCGCCCTCCCCCTCACCTCACGCGCCGCGCGCCCCCGGCAAACGCGCGCTCCCGGAGCGCGAGGTTCTGAAGCCCCCACCGCTGCTTTCGCACCGAATCCCTGGCCACAGGTTACTGACACTCTCCTTTTTCCTGAAATCCAGCTATGGTCTCGTCTTTCCTCTTTCTGGTAGCCTTTCATTCTTCCCCTCTCCATATAAGGAAGTGGGAGGCTAGATATTTTATTAGTTGTATGCACTCCCAGCCACAACGTAACGTGTGGTTGGTTTGTTGACACCATCGCTGTCTCTCTGGGTATCTATCCATAAATTCACCATTCACTAAATTGTTAGATGTCAAGGTCCATGCTAAGGCCCTGACGTGAATCATCTCATTAAATTCTCACAATAATTGGGCGTTCTTTTTAATCTCCTTTTTCAGATGAAAAAAAGCTCAGAGAACTGAGCACTAGACTTGCTCTCAGGCTGTGTATCATTCAGTTGCAAATATGTATTGGTACCTCACTGTTGTATGTAAGCTACTATTCTGGGGATTGGAGCTACAGCCGTGTACAAGGCAGTCTCAAATCCTAGTCTTTGGGCACTCAAAGTCTAGAATTTTTAACTCCCAAATCTGATAAGAATATGCTGTGGGACTACTCTTGGTCTCAGTATCTCCTTCCTTGGAGTCCACGTTTATCAAAGCGTTCGCCAGTCAGTTTTTGCTGGAATTTCTTTGTTGATGGCAGAAAATAGTTTTGAAATATGGGACAGGGCTCACCTCCATCTTAAAAAAAGAGTACAGCCCATTAAAAATCAAAAAGGATGGGAGAGCTAATAGTTGCAAAATCAATAAATGCTCATTAGGTTTTTGAAACAGCTCTGTGAGCTGGGTCTTTTTCTTAATAGTATTAAGAGTTATAATAATATTTTACAGATAAGGAAATTGAAATTCAGAGGAGATAAGTACTTTGCTAGTGACAAAGGAAAGATTCCATTCTAGAATCTAAATTCTGAGCCCTCATTTCATACTGAGCCATAAATAAAGAAGCTGAGGCCTAAAGGGGGGCTTTCCCAAAGTCATGCAGTGATCAACGAGGACAAGAGGCTCCATGTCCTAGTTCAGCCACCAGCCCCGGGTCATGAATATTTGAACATCTTCTCATCCCCACCCCAATATACCCCAAAAGAAGCTTCATACGGCCTCTGAGAGAAAGTATTCATCTGTCATGTCTTCATGTCTGGGCTCAGCCTTTTACCCAAGGAAGATGTTGATTGTCTTGGTGCATTTGGAGAAGGAGAAGATAGTTTGCAAATGGGAGAGAACTTAAGATGCACTTTTGATGCCACGTGCTCCCTCCTTAGCCACCTGACGCATGTCAGCTGAGATGGCCCTCGAGGACCCGGGATTCTAGCTGAGGAGACAGACAAGAATCAAGAAGTCATGCACAACCCTGAGCTACTGTTCCAATTAGTGCTGAAGCAGAAGGACAAGGGGCTGTAAGAGTAAATGACAGGACACCTGCCTCAGGGGTGGGGGGCAGGTGGAATGCAGTCAGGGCAGGCTTCTGGAGATGAGTAAAAGGTAGCAAGAGGGAACTGGGAGAGTATCCTAGGCAGATATACAGAACGTACAAAGACCAAGTGCCAGAAAGGAGTTTGGCTTTTCCAGGCTTTTCCACTGTGACTAGAGGGAACAAAGTCTAAGGGGCAGGGTGGGAAGGCCAGCCCCCAGGGGTAGACCTTGCTTCAGGGCTCCAGGACTACTGGGTGGCCATGGAATCTGCGTGAGACATCCTCATAACAAATAAAATATAGCAGCTCCTTATTTTCAACGGAAGGAAAGACAGAAAAGAAATCCTTCCCCGAGGATGTATACCTGAGAATGCCAATAATGAGGAATGGATGTTACTTTGAACAGGGTGGTTGAAAGAGCAAAGGGGGTGATAGACAGATAGCTCACTCCAGAACCGCTGACACTGAGGGGGCAGATTGGAATCTCTCTGGATGGGGAATCCAACATCTGATTCCAGATCTCTGGCAGCTCTGAGGCTCGGTTTCTCCATCTCTGGAACAGAGACAATAAAGCCTCAGGGCCTCTCTCACAGCGTGGCTCTGAGGAGCCAGAGGGATGACCTACACCTTAGGGAAAAAGCCCTCCCTCGGTCTTCACACAGTACTACCCTTAGCTTCGTATTCTTTATTTGCATACACGTTTGATATACTCCAGACACCTCGCAAAGGGCTCTCATGAATTTTCATTGAATTCTCACTATGGCCCCACGAGGTCGGTGCTATTATTACTCCATTTTCCTGGGACGCAGGGAGGTCAAGTCACTTGCCCAAACTCATGCGGGGGTCTGAGTGCAGACCCAGGTCTCGCGCTCTGACTTCCTGATGCCCCGGAGAGAACGTCCAGCGCCCAGGCGTAGCCCCAGGACCCTGACCTAAGGAAAGATTTGAACAGCGGGCTCGGAGCTCGGAGCGCGAGAGCCAGAATCCCTCGGGAGTCCGAACCCAAAGGGATCCACCACCCAGAGCGCGGCCCAGCCTGAGGGCTGAACGCGGCTGTGTGTCCGCGGGATGCTCCGGGCTGGTCCACAGAGCCGCCCGCCCCGCGCGCAGGTGCGCCTGCTGCTGCGCATGCGCGGCCTGCAGCCTCTGCAGAGTCCGGGTGCGGGCCTGTTGCTGGGAGTGGGAAGAGTCCTGTGATTCACGCCCCGGTCACATGAGGGCTTGGCCACTGCGCCAGGAGCCACGCAGGTGGAAAGACTGATGCGGAGAGGAGCAGGGAGAAGCTAGGGCCAGGCCAGGGAGGCAGGGAGCGGCCTGGAGGGACTGAGAAGGGAGAAAGAGGAGCAAGCCAGCCTGAACCCCAGGCAACGGGGTAGACCAGCATGAGACAGAAGTAACCGGGTGCACTTGCCTCCACCAGACTTATTGATGCCGCGGGCCCGCTAGCTTGGGCGTCCCCGCCCCCCCAACACACACACACACACACACACACACACACACACACACCCCACCCCCGGGCGTGTTGGAGAGCCCTGGGTCCAAAGTTTGGACCTCTTCTCTGACAGTCTTGGGCTTGCACCTATCTCCCTTTTACTCTAAGCAGCATCATCAGCTACATTTTTTTTTTTTGTTTTTTCATGATCACCTTCACCCTCTCCTCTTGGCCGATGGGTCTTGAGATTCTGCTACGTTCTTTTAGGAGCAGTTCCTAAAGTATTCAACAAGATACTATTTATCTTTAATACTGGGAACCTAGTAAGGACCCAAAGAATGTTAGCTGTTAATATGGTCAACAGTGACATGACATGGGGCTATAAATACAGTTATGGGGACTTCAGTCAGTGTCTTGCTTCTTTTGCTATTGTAGACTCTTTGGAAGAGAATGAAAAAGTAATTGTCTCCATCACAGCCACCCTCACTATACCACACTCTGTACAAAGAGCAGCTGGGCTTCCAGTGCTTGTTTGGTACATCCTTATCCTCAAGAACGAGTTAAAAGTTTTTTGTGTTTGAGGTCAGAATACATTATCAAAAAGGCTTTGTTTTCAAAATCCTAGGCCAGGTTCTCAAACTCAGAAGGCCAGGCAGACTTGCTTAGCACCGCAGATGCGGGCAACTGAAGAGAGCACGCCTTGCCCAGAGGGGCAGTGCGTACTCAGCTCCAACCAGCGGTTTCCACGTAGTGACTAAGGGTCTTGATTGTAGAAATTATGTGACACTTCCTACTGTTGAAGTGTTCCGGTAGATTTTTAAATTTGTAATAACTCCACACAGACTGAACAAAACCCATCTGCCAGACGCATCCAGCCCCCAGGTTACCTGCATGCAAGCTGTGGGGCACTAGTATCCCTTCTCCAAGCTGTAGGTTCCTGGAGAGGCGCTGACTTCTACCCAACTCACTAGAGCCCCCTAGTGGGCGGGGCTTCAGAGGGAGGCTGTGGTGGTGCGAGAACGCCTGGGCACCAAGAACCAGGACCTTCCCGCTCAGCCCGGAGAGCCAAGATAGTCCCTCTGCTCAGCCTGGCTCTGGTGCGGCAGATTGGTGCCAGCCACTTCCAAATGGACTGGTGAGCAACTGCAGTGGGAGCCTCTGAGGACAGCTGATGCGGGCAGCTCAGTTTTTCTGGGACTGTGAAAGCCCCACAGTCCTGGGACGTGCCAAAGAACAAGGCGGGAGCCAGCTCCAAATACCAGCTATTAGAAGTCTCAGTGACCTCAGACAGTGGAGACTGAAAGCTGGTTTACTTCGATTTAGAAAAATAAAGAAATATGGTATTTTTTACACTTTGGATATCAGAGAACAATGTATGCCTTTGGTACATTAAGTTGTTGTGGGATCCCAGAGGAAGGAGTTTTCCTTCCTTCCTAGGGCTGGAAACAAAGTTGGTGAAGAAAAGAAGCAGTCAGACCACCAGAGCCCCTCCCCACCCCGCAGAGCCAGGTGACCACCCTTCCCCTGCAGAATGGTGATGATGATGATGGTGATGATGGTGGCGATGATGGCGGTGATGATGATTTTGATGATGATGACAGCAAGCATATAAGGGGCATGCTGTTTGCCAAATACTATTCCAGTCTCTTTACATATATCGACTCATTTATCCCTAACCACCACCTGAGGCAAATATTCTTATTATCCCATTTTACAGATGAGAGAACAGGCATTTGTCCCAGGTCACACAGCCAATAAGTGATAAGGCCAGGATTCGCACCTAGGCTTGATGGAGGTGGGGATGGGCAGTAGAAAGCAGTATTCCATGGTTTAGGCTTCATTGCTCTTCCCACTAGAAGCCACAGGAGGCTGGTGCAGTAGTTCCAGTCTGAGGTGGTGGAGCCCAAGCCTGGAGGAGGGAATAAAGAAGTCAAACACAT